CTGTCAGCTGAATACTGGGCTTCCCCCGGGCTGCTCTGCATTTCTGAAGCATCTAATTCCATTGCATTGAATGGAAAATTGCAAGTCTGTTGGCAAATACTGCAGCATGCAACTGTTGCATTGCTTGTAGGGATGCACCAATATAGTTTTTTTCGGTATTGAGTACGAGTACCGATATTTTTCCCCCGGTACTTACCCATGCCGAATACCAATACCAGAAGTCCCGTTAAGGAAGCCGGCTCCACGCTCCCTCGTCACCAAGTGTCGAGAGAGCATGGAGCCGGCTTCCTGGCCAATCAGGCAGCGGAGGGTAAATCATTACCCATCCCCAGCTTCCTGATTGACTGGGAAGCCAGCTCAATGCTCTCTGGTGACGAGGAAGCATGGAGCCGGCTTCCCGGCCAATCAGGAAGCCGGTGTGTAACAATGTGCACCATCCAGCTTCCTTATACCAGAAGTTCCGGTATCGGGATAAGCTTCAGGAGCATTTGGGCAATTACGAGTACTCACCCAAATACTCTGTATCGGCACAGTATCAGCTATATCTTACCAGTCCTTAGATGTGTTTGCTGCATCACACTATGCTTCTCCACTGACACGTTTAACCTGCAACTGGGCTCACTCATAGAGAGTTTCTACAATGAAGCCCAGTTGCAGGTGAAAAGCATCAGCAGACCAAGGCCCAGTTGGGGTTTTGCATTGTTTGTCCTGGAATAATAAAGCTTTACAAGCATTGGATTTTACGGTGAGCTACCAGCTACTTTTTTGCTGGATTTATCGAAAGTTTGGGGAAAGGACAGACCCCTTCTTGGCGTTTGCACCCGGTCAGCCAATTAAAGGCTTGGGAGCAGTGGAAAACATGTATTTGTTTAATGATGTCAATGGTCAGCTTTACTTTACATTAAAACAAGGGCCTGTTAGCTTGCATCTATCGGCATTATTGCGTAGGGAACACACACTGGTACATATGTTCTTCTTGTATTATAGGATTGGAAAATCCAGCACTCCCCCCCCCCCCA